GCAGGAGGATCACAAATTTGACTCAACATAAAAAATAAAAAGGGCTGGGATGTGGCTCAGTGGTAAATCTTTTGCCACACTCAAGACAAATATACAGTTTTTCACTAGTATGGCTTCTCTGATGAGTAAGAAAGTCAGAGTTTTGTTAGAAGCTTCTTTCCACACTTGCTGGGGTTTCTCTCCAGGTGGGTTTTCCGGTGTCCAAGGAGATGAACAAATAGTCTGAAGCTCTGATGACACTGAAGGTATTTAAAAAGTTGTCCTCTGGTGTCAATTTTCTTGCAATGAGGACTGAACAGTGCTAGAAAGTTCTCCCATACTCAATGCATGTGCAAGGTTTCCTACTTATATCTCTCCTGTGGGTGATCAAGTTTAAGCTCACATTAAGGGTTTTCCAAACTTCAGGGCATCTGTGGTTTCTCCTTGGAGTGGCTGTTAGGGCAGCTTTCTGGGTAAGGCATTCTTATGCTTCCTATAACTACAGGCTCTCTGTTCCCCTCTGAAGTCTGAGCTCTCATCAAAGTCTGAGATTTATCTAGGCTTCTTCATCTTAATGAAGTCTCTGATGTGTAAATATTCTTCTTTGGGTAAGGGCAGGTTACTGGGGATTGAATCCAGCGGTGCTTTACCACTGAGTCACATCCCCAAGTCTTTTTAATTTAATTTTTTGTTTTGAGACAGGGTCTCACCAAGTTGCTAAGGCCAGCCTTGAACTTGTGATCCTCCTGCTTGAGCATCCCAAGTTGCTGGGATTACAGGTGTGCACCACCATGCCCAGCTATAAATACATTTTTTAGTAGAATTAACTTGTCTGGTCAAGACACCTGTGAGGCTTCTGATGCAGGGGAGGGCTGAACTCAAGGGCTTTCTCACCCACATTACAGCTACACGTTTTTTCACCAGTGGCTGAGCTCTGGGGAACCTTTTATCACATCACTGTATTTACAAGTGGCTCCAGAGTTCTCATTTTCTGTCTGGCAACAAAGTTCACACCTAGGAAGCCACTTTCACACGAGCCACTGAAGTGGTTTCTCTGCTATGTGAATTTTCTGATGTACAGTAAGGCCTGAGGTACAGCTAAACTTCTCATACTAAAATACTTAGAAGCATGAGTGTGGGTTGCCTGGTACCTATGAGGCTGGCACTCCTCATGCACTCCAAGCATCTACAGGGCTTCTCATCTGTGTGGACCCCGGTGCACAGTAAGGTCTGATTTCTGGCCAAAGCCTTTCTCATAGGCACCACACACATAGGGCTTCTCCTAGTACAAATTCTTTTATGTAATGAGGAAGGCTTAACAATGTTGGGAACTTTCCTCACTCTTATTACACTTTCAGGGCCTTTCAGCAGGATGAGTTCTCTGGTGGTTAAGAAGATCTGATTTCCCACTAAAAGCCTGTCACAATCCAGACACTTAAGTGGTTTCTCATGATGTGAGAGCGTCAGTGCCTTAGGAAGTGAGTATCTGGACTAAAGCATTTATAACACTCGCTACGCAGATATAGGTTCTCCCTGTGTGACTTCACTAGTGGACAAGCAGAGCTCTGACCAAAATTCCGGCCACAAACGTCACATGTACAGAGCTCTTCTCACATCTGCTGCATTTATAAGGTTTCTCATGCTGTGGATCCTCTGGTGGGAAACCAGTGCTGAACTCTGGAGGAAGTTTCCTTCCCAGGGTAGGTATCTTATATGCAAAGCTCCGTTTCACACAAGTTTCATGATCCAGGCACTGGCACACCTGCTATCTATTCGAGTAGTCTGATGCACATGAATAAAGTCCTTCCACTCTGAGGGCATCCTTGGACACCCTTTCCTTCCAACTCTCTTCTGAAGTGTACCTTTTCTATGGCTCCCTCCAATGGAGATTTCCACTGGTCTTCTTGTCACATTGTTGCCTTTGAAGCCATCTTCTTGATGAGAACTAGGAAAGTACACCTGTTCTGTGCCTTTCAGTCTCAAGCAGTTCACCTTTGCGAATTTCCAGCGTCCTGTACATGGATTCCTTATTTGGTATTTTCAAGCCACAGGAAGCCTCAAGTCTGGCTTCCTTTCGGCTCCAAAACGTCTCCAGGCCAGGTCCACTCCCCACACTCAGCTCTCCCTCTCCTGCCTGGTGCTGTTCCTGGGCCTTGGAGGGCACTTCCAGGGACCCACTGGTTCACTGCGACCCCAGGCTCCATGGTGGGACCCCCACATCCAGACGGAAGGAGAAGAGTCTGGGAGGCTGCGAAGAGCTGGGGCCATTCCGGCTGCACTGTCCACGAGGGCCACACCTTCACTTCATATTTTATTTTTTTATTTTTAGAAATGAAAACTTAATTTTACTATAGACACGTCAATATTTTTAAATTGGTACAATTAGCATGCAAAGCGTTTCTATTCAAATAAGTAAAAGAAAAAATTAAAAATCTCCCAAATAGTAAGTACAACAAGATAAATGGAGAATATTAAACATAAAAAAAATACCAGC